TCAAATTTTATTCTAATTTGCCTACTGGTCGTGACGTCACTAGCGAATTTTGTCAGATGTTCGAATTCGGTTAGTTAAATTATCATTTAAACCTAAAGGGGTAGTTGTCGCTCGCCATCATAATAGGGGTGTCGGTCGCGTGCGAATTTTACAATTCTATATTTGTTTCGTGTTCATCATTTTCAATTTATAATTTTAATTTTAATATCGGAGATACGTATATAATATACGCCGTTTCATTTGTAGCGCCCTCATCTTCGCATTTACATATTATTCTATTATTTTATATCGTCTGTCTCGCTCGCTCTTGTTTCGTCTATTTCGCTCGCTCTGTCTCGCTCGCTCTTGTTTAGTCTGCTTCGCTCGCTCTGTCTCGCTCGCTCTGTCTCAGTCTGTCTCGCTCGCTCGCTCTCAGTCTATATCGGCGCTTCAAGATGGCCGCTCAGTTTCTCGCGCGTACGTCTCGTGTCCTTGCGCCGGTTGTTGGAGCGCCTCCTGGGGCGCTCCCGTGTCGGTTCTGTGGTGTTGTTCCGGGTGTTTGTGTGTGTGGTCGCTGATTTTCGTGTGTGTGGCGCTCAGGATGTCGCCGATGGTGTTCGGCAGCCCGACACAGCTGATTGCCGGCTGCCACTTCATCGGCGATTTTCTGCTTGCCCCAGGAGTGTCAGTGCCTCGTGAGTGTTCGTGTTAGTGTCTGGGAGTGTAACGGATCTGCATGTGTCATCAACATGCATCTCCGTTGCATTTCCCAGTCAGGTTTTGCATTTTTCTTTTGCCGGCCGGCAACACGTGGTCGGGAGTGTCTGTGAGTGAGTGTGTGCGTGCGCTCTCTTTTTCTGTGGTGCGCTCCTTTTTTTTCTGCTCTTTGAGCATCCGTCGGATCGCGTTGGGCAAGTTTGTTTCGCCCATATCTCCGGCGTGGTCATTCGGACATGGAATAGAATAATTGTTCGGTATAGGGCGTGTTTAGCTTTATTTTAAACAACCGGTTACGGGGCGGCAAGGGATGGGGATGGCCTTTCCGAGGTGTTGCAAATAATGCAGCACTCAGGAAAGGCCTTGTAATGTGCCACATTACAATACAAATAATTAATTTTGTATCTGTTTCCTCGTTGATATTTATTTGTAATACTAATTATTGTTGTTTGTTAGAGAAAACTACTCATAGTACAAGTTGAATTTTGTCCTATTTTTGTGAATAATCGGGTAATAAGCGCATTCATTCAGTCGTTATCCGTAGAACTGATTCTATGAAAGTCGAAGCTCTTCATGCACTGCGCATAAGCATACGGCGTATAAATCTTAATTTCTTAATTCTCTTTCTCGTGATATTTTCAACTTTATTAACCTAATCAACAAAACAATAGTGTATCTCTGTTTTTGATTTTAATGTATATATTAGTGCACACTTGCTATAATCATCAATAAAAGTTATAAAATATTAAGAACCATCAAAACGCACTTTCTTATGCGGCCCGTTCAAATCAGTATGTACTATTTCCAAAATTTAATGTGCTCGACTTCTATTATTTTTAAATGATAAATTATGCATTTTATTTTTAATACATGTGCCACATTTCAAAAATTTTCTAAAATTTCCGGTATTTCATCTACTCGTTTATCTTTGCACATCTTTTCTGAATATTTAAAATTGAAGTGACCCAAAATCTTGTGATATCTTTCCTTTTGTGTTATATTATTTTCATTTTCTTGATATTGTAACATTCTTCTCCGTTAAAATAACGAATTATTTTATACAATCCGCGCTCTTTGTTAGCTACTGCAATTAGCTTATTTTGCTTATTATAAATTTTCGAAGAATTTTCAACAGAAATAATTATGTACTTGTTCATTATTTTTCCAACACTTAGAAAATTTTATCCATTTCCTTAACATAAAATACATTGGATATTTTGTTTTATTAGTAGTTCCATTTACGTCAAAATAAGTTACAATACTATCGACTTTCGTTCCTTTTAAAATTCTACCATCACCAACTTTTACATTTATTGGTTCATTTAAAATTACTGACTCGCAAAGGTAAGAGTCATCATTTATTATTTGGTCTGTACATCCACTGTCTAATATCAAATCCATTATATTTTCTTCATATTTATAAATTTCCGCAACGCTTTCACTTTTACGTTTTACCTGTGTTAAGAATGTATCCGTAATAACTTGATCGTTGATGTTTTCGCCGTACTTGGCATCATGTTATCCAGCTGCTTTGTATTGTTGTTGATTTCCTCTTCTTCTGCTTCTATAGTAGTGGTCTCGTTGTTTACTTTTGCCTCCGTGACGACGAAAACGCTGCGACTGCTTTTGATAATATGGATTTCGTCCACCTCCTTGCCAGTGTCTTCCACCTCTTCTACCGTTTCCTCGGGTCGAAGAGGTCCAAAGATTTTAAAAATCCTTCTTTAAATATCCCGATTTTCTACAGTCGTAACAAATTTTTTTTCCATCTTGTTCGGCGAGGAATGCACTACTCTTTTTCTTCACATTTTCATTCGTGTTCCGACTATCTCACATACTTATTTTCGCTTTCAAAAATTCGCAATTTCGATCCGCTTCATTTATTGCATCAACTAAGTCTCCGATATAACTTACTAAGTCTAGAAGTGTTCTCAGTATATAATTCAGCTTTTCTCGCTCGTCAACTTTTTCATCAGCATTTTTTAGTTCGTTTATAGTTTTTACGAATCCTGTGAAAAACGACTTTGAATATTCAAAATCTTTCAATTTAATTTTATCTTACTTGTTTCTTATATATATCCGTAACGCCGATGATTCTTTCAAGTACATCTGATCGAGTTTCTTGATTATATCTTGATTCGTTTCTTGATCGCTCACAAATTCTATTTGATCTGTAATACAACAATAGATATAATTCATTGCTTTCAAATTCTTATCGACCCATGCTGCTTGACTTTCAGTGGTCTGTTTTTCTCTTCTTCCATATGCTGTAATTCTTACCATCAAAAATCTGAGATTTCATATTATCGTTACTTGCCATTTTGTCTTCTTTTTTTATTTTCTAATGCTTTTTATATTATCTGCTTGTTAGCCTTCCTTAAATCATCTGTTTTCAGGTCGTTATAAACTTCAACTTCATTATATCCTTTCAAAATTTCAGTTAATCTCGCTTTCGGTGCTGTCTTAGCTTCTTGTTTTTTTCTAGTGTTTTTGGACACTCTTCTAAGATCATTAATGTTAACAAAGTTTAACACTGTTTCTATTCTGAATTTGCATACGTAGTCAATTAATTCTTCTTTTGAAATTGTATAAGTCTGTCCAGGACTTTACCATTGTACATACCAGTATTTGTCTTCAATACTCATCAAGTTGCTTTCCTCAGTGCTTGCTTGAACTTGTTACTTGTCCTTGTCACTTTTTAACCATAGAAACTTTCTTTGTAATCACGCTCTGCTACCATGTTGAAATAAAGTATGAGTAAAAGGAATTATTAATTCTTATAGGTGTTTAATATATTTGAAGAGTGACATTACAGACATAACACTAAAATTAGACGCTTGACTTCGGAGCTTTTATATCCGATAATTTCTGAGTTGTAATTACACAGCTCAGCACTTACCAAAATTTCAAAGAGTTCATCGTACTGCTAAGCTATGCATTCTGTACCGTGCATTGTACTGCTGAGCCCAACATAAATTTATTTCATATTCTAACAGGATTCCTTAATTTTTTTGGCTAGTGTATATGGGTATTTGTGTGTGTGTGTGTGTGTGTGTGTGTGTGTGTGTGTGTGTGTGTGTGTGTGTGTGTGTGTGTGTGTGTGTGTGTGTGTGTGTGTGTGTGTGTGTGTGTGTGTGTGTGTGTGTGTGTGTGTGTGTGTGTGTGTGTGTGTGTGTGTGTGTGTGTGTGTGTGTGTGTGTGTGTGAAATGTATGTAGATGTTGTATCATATAGATGTTTGATTCAAATGTTAATTTTTATCTATGCTTACATTAACTTATAACTAATCACAATTTACCATGCACTGATAATTTTTTTATATATAAGTGTACATCAGTTGCACGGCTCAAACGCGACTGGTATGCCTAATGTGGCTACTTGTCTCATAATATTTCCGAGTTACCCCATTACACTGTAAAAGATGTATAGCGCATTCGCTATCTTTTTCATATTGGGAAGGGTAGCATTCAATCAGTATCAAACAACGACAGTGTACAGAGAGGTGATGATCTTCTTGTTTTTCAGGACCGAAGAATTTATATTTTGCAGATGCAATAGAACTGCCTTTATTATAGTTATAGTGTATCACTGCAAACTGAACATCGATTGATTAATGCTCGATGCTAATTAGTTTCATCTGGTCCACTCAACTTAAGCAGCTGCGGTAAACAATGAGAATTGTCGTAGGTGGGGTAATTCGGCAAGCATGTGCGGTGCTTTGCCGTTTGACCGTGAAACAAGAGTTATAGATCAAAACAGTTTTTATTTTTAGTTAATTAATGTATTTATGTCCAAGTCTATCTTAGGTGCCGTTAGTTCGTATCACAAACTAACGATTGGTCTATAAATGATTTTCTTTTAAAACAAAATTTTTTTCTGTTTCATTCGCAACTTTGATCAATCTGGATGTTACCTCCAAGATTTATTTTTTTATTTTCGAAAAGATTTTTGAGAACGACCTAACAAACGATATAGAAAAAAGTTGTTGCTTTTTCGATGAACTATCTAATGACGTAAATATTTTATTGTTTACCTTAAAAAAGCTATTTCTGAGTGCTATCTTTTAAGATCTCAATAATAATCCAAAAATCATTTGTATGACGTAAACGTATAGGAGCTTTTACAGAAATAGGTATAGAGTTACTGAGCTATTAATGCATCTCTCGATTATAATCATTGTTTAAAGGCATGGTCAATTCCTGAAATTCAAAAATCTTTCATGTGTTAGAGAAAAATTACATTTTTAAATTATCATTCAGTATGCATATTTTGTAAATTATTTATAAGATACTGTTTTTTTTTCAGGGCAGATGGAAACAACACTGTAAAATTTTTGACTAAAGGTGACAATAATTCAGTTGATGATAGAGGTTTATATGCTCGAGGTCAATTATGGCTCACACAAAATGATGTTGTTGGCCGAGCACGTGGTTTCTTACCATACGTTGGGATGATTACAATTTATATGAATGAATATCCAAAATTCAAATATGCCATACTAGCTTGTCTAGGTGTATACGTTTTATTGCACCGTGAATAAGATGTAAAAATTATCATATGTAAAAAATTATCACTTTATATCTAAAAACATTATAATTTTACTTTTATTTTTTTTTTCATTGCACCTTAATATCCAGAGAAATCATCAGAAATAAATCGTTAACCATTGTTTTTACTTTTAAATTCTGCATATTTCATTTATTATTTTATAAGTATAATGAAATAATTATGTGGAAATACTCACTTTTTTAGCCATCTATGCTTGTAACTAAAAATTATTTTATAAATAGTTGATACAAAATTTGTTATAAGTGTTACAATTCGAAGTACCTTGATCTTCAATTCACTCGGCAATCTTAAGTTAGACGAGAGTTTCATAAGACGGGATTCTTGACGAAGAAATAAGTCTTAAGAAAATTCCTTTTATTTAGACTTGATTGTCAAAAGATAGAAAGAATTTAGCGTTATAGTGATCGCACCGAGGAAGATGTAATACTGTATTCTTAATAGGTGTGAATATAGTTTTATATATCGAAAAGACAACAATGTGAATCAACGGCGAGAAGACGAGACTATTAATATGTACAATATACTACTCATAACATAAGGTATACTTGATTGTTTCACAAAATTATTCAGCCACACTTGATAATCACAAACATATATCGATAATAAAATAATATTATGAAAAATAGACTAATTCAATATTGAGGCTGAACTGTTAAATTTAGTCGGCAGTAGACCACAGTGGCCTTTTTAATTTAGATGGGTCCACCTAATTTTCTTATATATTTTGATCTATTAAACACAAATTTCGACAGTGCATTTTGATAGGAGAGTCGGATTATTTGTTATAAAAAGATTAAATTTGTATGTATTATCATTTTAATAATGTTTTATTTTTTGATCACTGACAAATAAAACCATTTTATGGCAGCATCGTGGGCGTTACAATACAAAAAAAAAATTGTTAGTCACACTTCATCGAAAGTGAAAAACATCTAGGTCTTCTGTTTTGCTTGTTAGATCTTAAGGCAGGATAAGATATTTATAAATAATCACATTCCTTTTAGAATCTATGTTCATACTTCCTGAAAGAAATTATGGAAAAAGTTTAGGTAGTTATTGGTACTTGATATTATGATGAGTTTGTATCAAAACCTCATAATTCTAAAATCTGTCCAAGGGATGTTGTACTTATCACAAGAGAAGATGGCAAGCCAGCAGGTAAGAAAGTCAGATTAGAATCAATTGAAACGTTGCCTTGACCTTTTTCAGGAAGGTTGATAGGATCAGAAATCGCCGTGAAAGGGTTGAAGAGAATGACGTAATCTCTAAGAATTTTTTTTTTTTTTATTACGAGATAAGGAACTAACGTAATTGTTAAAAATTACTAAACGCCTGGTACTTAAAAATGGGTGTAACTCATTCTGAATCAGGACAGCAACTATCTGGATTCAGTAACACGCTAAGATAATGTGTCTTGGGTGTGCTAAGTTTTGACTTCTTCCTGTTGTTTGTTAGCCATGCTTCATTAAAATGCCTTTCTAATATAAAATTGAGTCTTTTCATTTGATCTATGAATAGGACTTGCTGCAATATTATTTAAGAAATATGGTTTTAGGGAATTAGTCTAGATTTTGCATTTATTAGAGTTCTATACATTCTATGAGGAAATATAATTTATTAGAAGTATCTATTTTAAATCACCAAGATGGAACTACCTTTCATGAGTCAGCTTATGGTCAACGCGTTTCAGGTAATGCTTTTTAAAATCTTGAAGATTAGCGCATATCACGTTGAAATTTCCTCTGATATAACAGAATATTTAACATGTAAAATTAAACATAATTCAATGGATGGTAAATTAATGAAAGAATTATAAGTAATTATTTCGGATGAAATATCGATGACGAAATACGAATTCGAAACAGTCGATCGTCTCATTCAAGGTTTGAGCGATAACAAAGAATCATTTGGTGATAAAACAGTAATTGTATCAAGTGATATTCGATAGATATGACCAATCATTCATAGGATTGTAATGAGAGCCACAGCTCGCTTTTTTCTTTTGTTCGCGTCGTCTAATTGCTGAGTGTCTTCCGTGGCCTTTGTAAAGTGCGTGAGCGGGCCTATTTTCTGTGTCGCGTGTGCAGCGGAGTGTGGGTCTCTACCATGGGGCCTGTGATCTCGAGAGAGGTGTTGAGAAGGTCCCGGGACGAGCCGTTAGCATCTACACGATCCGGTGACATCGAGAGCAGTCTTCCTCCAGGTTGGTCTAGTTTTCTCTCTCGCAATGTCGCATCACCGGCAAGCCACGAAGAATAGGGGGGCTCAGCGGTAGCTGCTCGATAGCCTATGGAGAAATTAGAGTAAGATAATTCATAACCGTCGCGTCAGCCGGGTTCCATGCGATCTTCCGCAGGAAGTCGCGGCTGCGGTGGTGCGAGTTCGCGATTGTTGTTACGCTGAAATAAGCAATGAGGAGAGTTATTAAATTGTAAAGAGAAAATATATGTATTGAATGAAATTCGTGAGTGATAATTGTGTTGACCATTCCTGCCTGTTCCTTCCTGTGCGCGTCGAAACGTTGCCTTTCGCGTCCCCCGCGAAGTAGCTTGGCCTTCCGGGCCCCGATTTGTAAAAGAATTTGTCGTGTTCTCCGGCAACGGGAGAAATCGCGTTGACATGGCATCCCTTGTGGAGATTCGGAGGTCGACAGCGCAACAGGAATAGGCAGTAAATTGTCAGTAGTGCAAATTAATTCTTTTATTGTTGGTGACTGTCGATGAGGTAGATTCGTGTTATAAAAGAAATTGTTTGGTTGGAATGTGTTGGAAGGTTCTAACCGACGAGGACAAGGTCGAGGTGACTTAGTATGGGTAGTCGTAGGTAGACGTGAGCGTTGTTATTGTTGTCATTCTCGTTGGGCAACGGCTTGCTTAGCATACTCGTACGCTTTCTCCATAAACATACACATACATTTATATGTTTCACAATCATTTAAAACACCTTTCACGCTACATTTATTCCCCACTTTCACAACATTCATACCTTCTAAATTTCTAAAACTGGCATACATATCACAGTCACACAACACATGCACCCAGTCTTTATGTCCTCATCCACATATGCATTCCGGGGAGTCTGTCAAGTTCCTTGAATAGAGGAACGAGTTCAGGCTTCCATGCCCAGTCAGAATACGTATAAATTACCTGCAGGCCTGGGTGAAATTCCTTCGCCCGCCCTACAAAGGTGACATCATTTATCCATTCATACAAAACTCTTCCATTCACACCTGCATCCCATCTCCTCTGCCATACTTCATGTACTCTATCATTTATCAACATTTTCACATGATACATCCTCATCCGTAATTAATTGTATTCTATACAATTAATTCACTCTATACAAGAACACACATTTCAAACATTCAATGTTCCAAGGAGGCGACCCAAAGACAACTTGCATCGCCTCCGTGGAGACAGTCTGACACACTCTCGTACACGCGTATAAAACCATTCTCTGACACGCGTATAAAACCATTCTCTGACACGCAACCAATTTCCTTACATTCTTCTTTTTGACTAAACATTCATACAAGACACTCGCTCCATATATCATAGTCGGTACAATCAATCCATACATCGTTCTCATCTAACTCTACATTCACTCTTCTATTTTCCATTCGTAACCCACCTTTTAAGATCATTCCCATACTTTTTTTCTTGGGTACATCCACACCAACACTTTTTTCCCATTTATAAACAAGTTTCATCCTCTTTGCGGCCACTCTTTCGATTTCAGTCCTAGTGTCGCCCTCCACGAGCAATAGGAGGTTATCGGCGTAGGCCAAGTCCTCCTCTACGAAGGAGCGCGGTACCAGGTCATTCACACTAACATTCGTATTATCACTCATTCTTCTTTCTTCATTTATTTCTTGAATCATCACTCTTTCATTTTCCCTTCTTTCTTCATTCATTTTTGCTAAGTCATTCATCAACGCGTTCATGCAGAGATTCCACAGGAACGGACCAGCAATGGATCCCTGGGGGGCCCTTTTTCAAGCATTCTTGATATTTCATCTATGCCGTTCATCATCCATACCCTTCTATTCCTGAAATAATTGCGCCATACCTTAAACTCTTTCATGTTGCATCCATTCTTTTCTAGTTCGTTCATACATACATGCCATATCATATTGTCAAACGCACCTTTAAAATCTACAAACATCCCTAATATATACTTTCTCTCACTCATACCCACAATACTCTTCACCTTCATCTACGCATCTTCTGTACATTTCCCATCCATAAACCCATATTGTAATTCATTCCATTTCTCATTCATTTTTACATTCATACGCGCAACAAGCATTTTCTCCAGTAGTTTGCCAAGGCCGCTCAGCAGACTGATAGGCCTGTAGGACCGTGGATCAGCTCTGTCCTTATCATCTGCCTTCAGTAGCGATACGACTCTGGCCTCCTTCCATTCATTCGGGAAAATTCCCTCATTCATTCCATCAAACATACTCTTTACATACTCAGGCACGCTCTCATACACTTTCCTAATCATTCCACTTGTAATCCCATCCATATCCGGTGCTTTGCCCATTCTCATCTTCTTAATCGCACGCTCTAGTTCACTTAGTTCAAAACATTCACTTATACATTCGTTCGTCTTATTATTCATTTGTCTCTACCTCAGGGATGGAAATACCATCATCCGGAGGGAAGAATTCATTCAGCAACACATTCACACTCTCACACCAATTTTTTGTCCATCCATTCGCCGTTTTCAATCTAGCCACGCCATTTCTTTCATACCTACCCATACATACTTTATATACGTATCTCCAGGGAACTTTCGATCCCTTCATTGTAACAAATTTCATCCAATTATCACCCTTTCCTTTTTTCAGACATTCTTTATATTCATGCGCTCGTTCTTTTCATTCATTCCACTTCACATGACATTCATCTCCATTTCTCTTTCTCTCCAATTGAAACTTCTTTCGCGCCCTTCTCGCTTTCCTCCTCGCATCTCTCATCTCTTCATTCTACCAAACCAAGCTTCTCTTTTTCGGTTTATCATTCATTCTTTTCATACACTCGTCATTCACTTTTTCAATCCATTCATGCATCTTGGTCACTTTTTCATTTGCAGACATACCCTTATAACATTCATACTCAATTTCATTCGCTAACTCTTTAATACGTTTTACATACTTTTCCCAACCACACTTTATTACGTTCCACTTTTTCACTCTTTTAGACAGAAACACAGGCACATAATCAATTACACAGATGTCGAGGAGGATTGGGTTATGATCGCTCGACCCTCAATCCCTCCTGACGTCCCACCTAAAAACGCACCCGTCTCGGCCCCCAATCAACAGAGTGACATCGATGTCACTCTGCCCTCTAGCCCCCGAGAACGTGTACGCCTCAATGGGCTCATTCAATATTTCTACATCCTTACGCAGCACCCATTCCTTTACAATCTCACTTCTCTTGTATGCATTGCTGCCCCGAGTCATGGACTTACTTTACCACAGTTCAGAGGCAGCATTCACATCCATACCCATGATTAGCTTAGCTCACCACCTCAATCACTCTGTCCATACACTCCAGGCCTTTTTCCATCCACTCTTTTGGTCC